ATAATTGTGGTCAAACGTCCGCCTAGAAGATCGTAAAGTTAAACTGAGATTTTAATTGTGAGACGGAGAGTAAACTAATACTACTTCTCCCATAACTTACTTTATAGTTTTGACTTTTAAAGTCAAACTTTATTAACTTTGATAGCTAATTATTTCAAAATTACATTATTAATGCATAACATGGAACAAAAAGCTTTTATAAAATTAGTGTAAGACTAGCTAGGTATGTACTATTCAAATATATATCTGTTATAAATTTTACAAAGATGAATATTTAAATAACCATCGTCAAACGTAAATCAACTTTGACCTCAAATTGATCAATTTGGGGTTAAGGGGTTGTTGAAGTACATTAAATTTGTATCACACCGATTTTGTATGGAATAATATTTCCTCCGTCTCAGATAGAACTTGACGTTTGCTCTTGACACAGTATTTTAGGAGGTCAATTAATAGAAGAACACATGTCTTGTATGCCCTTTGACTTTTGGGAGGAATTAATGTTATCCACTCAAATGTAAAAAGTGAGTGAGTAATGAAGGATGGTTATGACATTTAATGTACGACGGAGTACTACATAATAAACTAATACAGTGTATATAAGAATTTGGGTCGCACTAAAGTCTGAACTCCTATTGTGTAAACATTTTAGAATGATTTGAAATCAAAAAGTTTAATACCAAAAAATAAGACCAATAAAAGATTGAGGCATGCATGACCAAGGGTATTAACATGTCTATTTCTTTTAGTAAACAAGTATTTAATTTGTGGTCTAGACATGAGTTGGGTGAATCTTTTTACATTTAAGATATGATATGATCCGTACGAGAAATGGGATTTGATTTCACATGGTATTCCACATCATGTTATTACCACTCCTTAAAAGGAAGTTCAAGAGAAAAAGTATATGGAGTATATATATGTTACCATGGCCCCATCTAATCTTCGAAATTCTCCCTTCATGAGTTCATGCTTACATTAATGTGTGCGTTACTATTTGTAGCAATTTGGTAAAGAAATTATTGTTCAACTATGAGTGAATTATAAATAAAGTTTTCAAATGTGACGATTCAACAATATTTTTTCCCAAAGTAATAAGGAGTAGTTATTTAGTTTTGTTAAAAGAACAAAACAATAAAAGCTCCTAAATAAAAGTGAATGAATTTCATTTTAAGAAGAATATAATAGTACTCTAATTAGCTAGAGAATTATGCTATGTTTTAATAGTATTTTGGAGTTTTTCTTTGGTTGGTACTCTTATCTCCAACCAAATATGTAATAGCGTATTATTATTATTATTGTTGTTGTTGTTGTTGTTGTTGTTGTTGTTGTTGTTGTTGTTGTTGTTGTTGTTATTATTATTATTATTATTATTAAGGACCAATGCATGTGTAATTACTTTATCTTGATTAGTATAAATACATGACTAGGGCTACCACATTGGTAAGTCATTATTCTCTCATAATATTATTTTCACATGGTATCAGTCGCCTAGGTTTCTAAACCTATTTTTTTCGCACAATGACCAATCCTGCGGCGCCCTTCCCAGCAGTTCAGCCGCCGCCTACTTCCGGTTCACTCCCTCCTACGGCGGTCAGAACGGCGGTCTCTACCGCCGGCAATACCGAAGTTCCTTTCTCCTCAGGCACGGCGTCTTCTTCTCTTCCATCATCATCCCGCTTAACGCTACCTCCGCCACCGCCGTTAGGATCCTACCGGCTCTTCAATATGCCGGAATCATTCACATGGGCACCATCAACAACTGTCCAGCCGCCATTCCCTCCTGCCGCAGCATCTCCTCTCAGCAGCCAGTTGGCTCCGGTCACTTTCTCCGGTCCAACGTTCAGCGGCCAACCTCGAATTCACACGCCAGACTCTCCCTCACCCTCACGGCTTCCAGGTTTTCTGGTATAATCTACATCGCTCTCTACTTTATCATCCCAATTGTCCTTCTCAACCCCAAACGTCCCCAATATTGTTACTACACGTTTGGACGCGGTTGAGGATTACTTGTCATGGCGTACTCAATTTGAGTCGTTCATGGTCTCACATGGTTTATTAGGAATTTTAGATGGTATCATTGTTGCCCCCTTGCCCACAAATTTTGATAATGTTCGCCGTGAAATACCTAATTCGGAGTATCATTATTGGTTAAAGATTGACCAAACTGTTCGATCATGGCCTATTTGCTACACTTTCCCGCAATATTTTAATTGAAGTATATGATTTAAATTTTTCTGCTTTAATCTAGGAAAGATTGGAAACTCGTTTTACACAAGCCAGTCTTGCCCGGTCCATGGAATTCAAACGTCTTTTATCTTCCCTAAAAAAGAAAGGATTCTCAATCCATGAATGATTATTTACACGAAATTAAAATTCTTGCGGATGCTTTAGCCATGATGTTTTCCATCATTTGCAATGGAGCCAAAGATTCATTATTTTTTGGCTTGAGATTATGATGGAATAAAGCAAAATGACTCACTAAACTGTCTGCGCTTCTTTGTTATGAAGCAGCAGTCAGTCCATGCAATTTTGGACGGGATTTTCACTATGGGTCATCCGGAAACAGTCTCTTTGTGCTTTAGTACAGGGGTAAGACTGCGTACATCCGACCCCCCCCCCCTTACCCCACCGTAGGTGGGAGCCTTTGCGCCACTGGGGTAAATGAAAATGATGCTTTAGCCATGATATAACGTCTTCTTAGTAATCATGATCCTCTTCAGTCTACTATTACCTGTTTGGGCAAAGATTATGAGTCCCTCATCGCCTCCATCACATTGTTTCCATCACACTTCATGTTCGATTCCCTCCGCCCCCATCTTCTAGCTTTAGAGCAGCAGGATCTTTACTTACGGGGTGTCGACAATCAGCGTGGACATCAAGCTTTTGCCGCCATAGATCCTACAGCAACGGCAATCCATCCAGCCACATGTCGAGGAGGGAAGCAGCGCCCTAATGGAGGTCACGGAGTGTACTGCGGTGGACGCGGCAGGGGCAACTGCGGTCAGGGTCGTGGCCAGCAAGGGGGTGGGTATGGTCAGTCGGGCCATGCTTTTGGAGGGCAACAATAAACCAATAAACCACTTGTGTTGAGATTATCAATCTCAATCGTTTTCATCTTATGTTTATTGCTACTTTCGGGTCAATATACGACGTGTGTTCTATATTGACTCGGTAGTAAGTTTTATTAATGAACGCGTCTCGTTATTAATAACTACCCTCGATGAATTGGAGATACTCCTCGATTGAATATTCGAGAGGAAGATAGTTAAATATATAATTGGGATCGACGAACATTCTATTAATAAGTGGATATAAGCAAAACCATGCCTTCATCTCTAATTAATTAAATCACATAAGTCATTCATCTTAGTGCTTAATATAATTTAAGTTTAAACAACAATCACAAAACCCCCCTTTGTTACTAGTTACATAAAAGAGAAGTATTTCATTCCGTGTGGATACGAACCTTACTTCATTATACTACATATAATTGTTGTATTCAATATTACTTTGAGGCACACCACGACAAAGTGCACGTCAAATTTGGCGCCGTTGCCGGGGAAAGGCAATAATTTTTCTTTTATTTTATTTCAAGAAAAAAAATATAACTCATAAAAATATAAAGAGTTCTTACTTTTCTAGTTTCTGAGCTTTGTGAGTATATGGTTAAAACCCGTTCCATAAACGAAATCACCTATCAAGCAAACCCAGAAATAGAACAAACCCTCGAGCGGTTGAAAGGTAAATTTTCAAGTACCGACTTGGAGGAATTATCTACTGGAGATTCATCCAACGCTAGCTCTAGCGAATCCGGAGAACAATCAAATATGGCTCTCGAGACGAGAACACTAAGGGAGCTTACAGCTCCCAATCTCAACCAACAACCATTGTATATTACATTCCCTACACTCAATGAATGTAATACATTTGAGCTAAAATTTGGGCTCATTCATCTACTATCATCCTTCCATGGCCTAAGAGGAGAAGATCCGAACAAACACTTGTCGGAATTCCACCTCATTTTCACAAGCATGTGTCCAAACGGTGTCACCGAGGAACAAATCAAACTGAGCGCTTTTCCATTTTCTCTGAAGGACACCGCAAAGGAGAATGATAAGAATGTGGTTCCTATCCTTTTAGGAAGGCCATTTTTAAAGACCGCTAGAGCAAAAATTGATGTCTTTAGCGGATCTTTAACAATGGTTGTTTCCGGTCTCAACGGCTATTTTTTATTTATTTATTAAGGGGGACCAGACCGGACCGGAACCGACCGGGTAGATCGGAACGGAACCGGGTCCGTTGAAACCCGGGTCGGTTCCGGTCTTCACATTTAATGCCCGGGACCATCTGGTCCGAGACCGGAACCGGGACCGGGACCGGACCGGGACAGAGTCCACTCCTATCCGGAGCTAATGCTTCACGCCAACATAACAGATTAGTAAAATCAGCAAACTTAGTATCCAAGGGGGTTTCCAAAAGAAAATTGAGGGTCTGACTCATTGAGAATTTCCATTTTTTTTCCCCGGCAGGGGACTTGATGCTGGACGAGGTCCCAAGCCATGTTGCAGATTATTTCCAGGTGGAAACTTTTGTTTGAATGGGCAGACCTTGGAATATTTTTACCACTTCAAGTCTTCAACCATTCGTCATGCTTCAAGAAGGAACTGGAGACTTATAACGGATGATATACAAACATAGATTAAGATTTGATGAGGGCTGTGTTATGTAAAAGGGTATAATTGGAATTTTCGAGATAATTTTAATTAATACAGAATAAAGGGCTGTGTTTGGCTAGTGAAACTCTGGCTGTTGATAGAATTTCCCATTAATAAATTTACCCTTGTCAAATATGTGCTCCAAACTCCAAAGTGGTTGTGACTAAAACTAACTTCACTTTGGTTACAGGATGGGAATCAAGGAGAGTGTGAATTGGCTTGTAAATCCTATGGAGTCCACCAGTTTTTTTATCTATGCGACTATGCCCAAGGCCATAATAATAATAGTTGGTATTATCATTTCATATTCTTTATGGTCCTTGTGTAAGTAATCAATTGCTTACTTTATTGGCAGCTTGTAAAATTCAAACCAATACACAATTTCATGACAGTAAAACAATGCTTTTGGGTCACTACTGGGTGAGATTCCATTCCGCTGTCATCTAAATCATATTCACATAGCAGCAAACAAATAAGTTTCTCAAAAATCGGTTTTATAAGCTTCAGGCTTGAACCAGGGCGAGAAGTCAACTCCTTTGCTTTTCAGTTTTTCTGTTTCAGGACCAATTTTGTCAATAAGCTGCAAGAGAAGATAAATGCAGAAAGATTAAATAAGGTGATATCCTTGTTACATTAAAGGCGTATAGAAGCTTAATATGATATCCTAATGGGAAAGAATAAGATATATTTTCCCATTATCATGAAACAAATTTTGAATTGTGAGAAGCAAAGTCAAACAGCGAGGGAGAAAGCTGAGTAGCTGACCTTATCATGAAGGGCACCATTTGAAGCCAAGACAGACCTATCAAATACACGAAAACTTTCACCATCCATGCAGGAAACTAAACCTCCAGCCTCTTCTACTATCTGCAGGCATTCAGGCAACAAAAGCACCATATACGAATATCAGACTGAAAGCACCACGTTCTTTATAAAAAAAATGGAACATGATGCATATTTGCCTTTTAAGTGATAGCTTCTAGCCTTCTATAATTCCATTTTCGACTTTTAGTTTCTTGAGTACATGACATCCCGAACACACGCACACATACCAGAACTCCAGCAGCTACGTCCCATGGTTTTAGACGATATTCCCAATAGGCTTCAACAATTCCAAGAGCCACATGGCACAAGTCTACTGCTGCAGCACCCAGCCTTCTCACACCCTTTACAAGACAAATTGCATAGTATCATAAATAGCCAATCCCGATATTATTCCTCCACCAGGAGAGTGACATTAAAATGTGTAGATAAATAATTAGAAGAATATCAGATTACTAAAACGTATAGAATGACAATGTTTAACTTTCCTAGTATAAAATGTCGTTACCCTGCTGGTGCCAGTAAATCCCTTGAATAATTCCATATTGGCAGCCCAGGAACCATCATGATCATAACCAAATCCCGTCACTAGGAGCGATTGCTCCACCTACCCATTTCATAGAATGCAGAAAAAATGAATCAAGAAATAAAATATATCTCCAAAATCTTAACTAAATTGAGATCCATCCATTTTAAAAGTTAAGTTAGAGATGGTTCACCTTATCAGTGTTGCTGACATTTATCTTTTGACCATTAGCAAATGCACCTCTGCCTATAACATATGGAGATATGATATGCACTTCCACACATATGTATAATTGAAACAACCATATATAGAAATTGCAACAGTCTTACCAACAGCTGCAGTGTATATGCGATTGTTCCAGCACATAGGGCCACCCACAAACTCTACCTAATAAGCAACATAGGGATTCAGATGCCATTTTCTGACAGAGAGATGCTATAAACCAATAACTAGGGCCTGTTCGGTATCGTTTCTGTTTTTCATTTTCTGTTTTTCTTTTCTTAAAAACAGAAACACATTTGGTAAAAAGTTGTCTTTGTTTCCAAAATCATAATCTTAAGAATGTGTTTTTAGAAAAATAAAATAGTATTTTGAAATCCACAAAACATAGTTTCTGTAAATTTGTTATCAATTTTCTCCCATACCCAGCCTCGTACCATTAAACTCCTACATAGGACCACCATCGGACCACTGCCGGCCACCACCAGACAACCGCTGGCCGCCAATGGACCACTGCCAAGTCACCGCCAAATCATCGACGGCCACTGTCATACTGCTGATCGGGCCGCCACAAGACCACCTCCGTCCGCCACTGGACCACCGTCAGACTGCCACCGAACAACCGAACCGCCACCAGATCGGTGGCGACCACCGTCAGACCACTGTCGGCCGCCATCAGACAACCGCTGGCCGCCACTAGATCACCGTCAGGCCGCCGGCCGTTGGGCCACCGCCAGATCGGCGGTGGACACCGATAGACCGCTGATCGGGCCGCCGTTGCCGATCACCGTAGGGCCGCCACTGGACTGCTGCTGCCGATTGCCACCAGGCCCCACTGGACCGTCGGTCGCCTCCAGATTGCCACCGTACACCACCATATCACCGCCGCCGATCGTCGTCGGGCCACCACAGGACGCCACCAGACAGCCTCCGGTGATGGCCGGAAATTTTCTGACTCTTGCCGCCGCTGATCTGTTACCACACCGCCGCCAAAATGATATCTAGAGCAATTTCTCTTGGAAAATGATATCTCCTTACATATGAATGTAATTACTTGCTTTTAGAAATGACAAAAGCCAAAATGAATCAACGCCAAAATAAAAACGGTTTCAAAAAACTGAGAATAAAAAACTGAACGCAGATTTTTGTTTTCTAGAAAACAAAAACAGAAAACTCAAAACGATACCGAACGAGGCCTAATATAATTAGTTCTTGCTTACATACATACCAAGCAATCCCATATAAACATCACTAGATGGAAAGTGTAATCCCAAACCGAAAAGTGTTAGTTTTAGGGTCACTTTTAAAATGGTCCAGTGATGAAACTTTGGGTTGTCCATAGTGGACAATTATTAGGCGATGTTTTGTCTACCTTATTATTTTAAACTTATTCTAATCCTGATCAAACCAAATCAGAAACATTTCGAGCAGATAGATAATGCCTCCGTCTTTACTTTTCTGGAAATTTTAGTTATTTAATCCACTTTTATTATTTAGTAAATACGAAGAATAATCTAATCAAATGACAACAATGTCTTTAATTTTTCATCTTTTATGTCCCACTTTTACATTCAATCTTCTACCCCTACTTTTAAACTTCTGTACCCTATTCAACATTCCTGCGATTTTCACTCTTTAAGTTTCGTAAATAATAGACAGAGGGAGCATTATATTTCACACAAGATAGTTAGACAAGATCAGAACCATACCGAGCAGACCAGGTTAAAAAAATCATTCAGAATGATTCAAACCAAACTAGATCTTAAAAGATTCAGCAGAAGATGCTGCCAAGAATGCTAGATGTTACCCCTCTGAGCACATGACCACGGCCACTATGGGCCAACCCACTGGCCCAGTCCGTGGGCCAAGTTGGCATATATGTCATCTCTAATATTTCAATGCACTAACTGTATAAAAGTAAAAACAAATTTATCAAATTTATTTGAATAGTCACCACTTACCACAGTAGAAGCAGCCGGTTTTCCTCTAAAAAGAACTGCCACAGATACGGCAAAGCTTGGGTAGCTGTGTGCAAAGTTTGTGGTCCCATCTGCATTACAAATTCAGGGAAGGAAGCTGTTAACCTTGAAATACTATAACTACTTAACAATAAAGAAGGGTTGTCATGCAGGTCTAACCTAAAGGGTCGATACACCAGAGATAGTCAGAAGATGCATCCCCAGTAAATCCTCCTTCCTCTCCAAGAATTAGGTGATCTGGGAAACTCTGTCTAACGACATCCATAATAGCAGCTTCACTTTTTTTATCTGTGCTGGAAATGAATTTAAAATTCAAATATAACCGATAAGATAAACATGTTAAGGAGGGAAAAAGAAAGTAGTAAAAGACAAGCCACCATAGGTCATACTCGGTTACTAGATCAGTTAATCCTTTATAACTAATCTGTCTAGGTTTATTCACAGCTTCCATTACAACCTAAAACAAAATGAAATATGGAAGTCAGGAAGGCAAAAGCAAAGAGCAAAGGTTTTAAGAAATCTTCATTAATGGATCTATACAACTGGAAAGGATTTCACAGGAGAATTTGTGTAACAAGCACAGAAATGCCCAGGAAAAAGAATTGCATGAGCAACTAAAGATTAAAGAAGAAATCAAAAACAAAAACTCCGGGTCAGGGAACGAAAGAAACCAATAATATGTTGAGGACATGAATATGCATACAGACTACATAAAGTTCCTTGGTACTCCTACAAGCAAAATTCAGTTTCCCCATATCCCTTTTTCTTTTTCCTTTTGACATATTCTTAGCATGACACACTTGTTAGTTTGAAGATTTGGATAATAACCCAGTGTTGTCAATCCCGGATAGCGGAGTGTAGCGGCCAACCCCAAAAACGCTATAGTGGTATAGAGGATAGCGTAGTGACTGATATTTAGACAATATATATGCAAAATACATATTATATGTATGCTTACAATTACATGTCATCCACATATCAATTCCAATAAATGATAAATCACAAATATATTACTCCGTACTCAAATGTCATGAAGTTTATAGTTAGTAAATTACCAATAAAGAGGCATTAGAGTCTTAAACAAAAGAAATTAATAATTTAAGTACCTTACCTCTAAACATTTGAAATTAACATCCAGATAATTCTTGATAAACTTACGCCATTAATATCTCATTGTGAGAGATTCATGGTTGGTGGAATGCCTTGAACTACCTTAACATGGAGATGTATGGTATAGGTTATGTTTTGAGTTATTTTGGTAGGGTTATTTTGTCCCCCGCGTGTTATGGAGGGTGTATTGATGTTTTTTTACTCCAAAAACGTCTAAAAGTAAAAAAGTACTCGCAAATTCCCTCAAAACTAGCACTGAAGTAACCCAGTAAATTATAGTTGCACTATAGCGCCCACTACAGCCGCTATTCTTCTCGCTATAGCGCCCACTACAGTCTCGATTGCCAACCGCTCCGCTATAGGCAGTCTCATAGCACCTAGCCCCCGCTATAGGAAACTAGCTATTGTTAGGATAAATTTTAATAAAACTTAATCAAAACTACATAGATAACATTATAATTTCTTGATTCCCCCCACCCTAATTAAATTCTGCTTGTTTAAAGATGAACCTGAGTTTTATTGTGTAGAGTTACTGGACCGGCTCAGACCTCAATCACCATAGCCCAAGGGCTAGCTCACCATTCACCACCAAGGAGTCAACAAGGGAAGACCAGAGGGCATCTAGTCTCCAACACTCAGTATAGTGCCCAAACCCTCCCAAACCAGACTGCCCAGAGAAAACCCACCGGAGAAGAAAACCCCCCCACAAGACTACCAGTACAGAGTGAAGCCCACAGAAGGACCCCAAAGGTATCACCGGAGGGTAGCCGGAGCTCAAACCCTAGATGATACCAGCACTCTCTCACTCTAGAACTGGGGTAACCGGAAAGACTTCTCATCGGATAGAGAGAGGAAGGGGACGATCAAATAGTGGATTCCAGAAGGAACGGACAATATAAGGTAAGGGCCACAGAGACATGGGCTTGGGCAAAGACAAAGGAAGGCAAGTGGGCTAAGTCAGGCGGACAGCCCAAACGGGCCATGAGGATAAGATTAGCAGACAGCTCATTAAATGGGATGGACCATGGGCCAGTGAGGTGGACCAATACCAACTCACAATCTCCACCTTATTGGTCCCCCTGGTGGTGTAGAGCACAACGTGAATGGGAGTATCATCATCGCCGGTTTTGTACCTGTTCTTATCTAGCCACAGTCTAAATTAAGAGTTCGTTTACAAGACAAAAGTTTTTCAAAATTGAGACATTTAGTCCCCATATCTGCAGGGTTAAATTCTGAAGGTATCTTGGACAGCTTTATCCAACCTGCATCCACAATATTCCTAATAAAATGGAACCTGACATCAATATGCTTGGTCCTGTCATGGAATACAGGATTCTTGCATAATTGGATAGCAGACTGACTATCAGAGTACACTGTCACAACCTGCTTAAGAAAACCAATTTCAGTTAGCATTCGTTTAAGCCAAATAGCCTCTTTAAAGGCCTCAGTGGCTGCGCAGATTCAGTAGTGGACAGTGCAACAATAGGTTGAAGTTGAGATTTCCAACTTATGCAGGAACCACAAAGAGTAAAAATGTAGGAAGTAGTAGACTTTCTATTGTCCCTATCATTTGCATAATTGGAGTCAACATAGCCAGTAAGTAAAATGCCAGTTTCAGTTTTAGAAAAAACAAGACCATGAGAAGGTGTACCCTTAAGGTATCTAAGGAGCCATTTAAGGGCAGTCCAGTGAGACATACCAGGGTTTGCCATATATCTACTTAAGCAACTAACAGCATAGGCTATATCAGGCCTTGTGCTTACCATGAGATACATGACTGACCCTATATCACTGGAATAGGGTACAGCCTTCATCCTATCTATCTCAGGAGCAGTCCTTGGGGACTGATCCTTGCTTAGCACAAAATGGGGTGCTAAGGGAACATTCACAGGTTGGGCAGAGTCAATTTTGAACTTTTTCAAGACCTTTTCAAGATAGGAGGTTTGGTTCAGGGTAAGGGTACACCTACTCCTATCCCTAAGAATATTAATCCCTAGGATTCTCTTAGCATCTCCAAGATCTTTCATAGCAAAGTTTTCACAAAGGCACTTTTGAACTATCTTAATAGCATTCACAGAGGGGCTAATGATAAGCATGTCATCAACATAGATTAACAAGAAAACAGGTACAACAGCAGTATTCTTAAAATACAAACAAGGGTCAGAATCAGACCTTTTGAAACTCAGGGAAGACATACACTGGTCAAACTTGATATTCCATTGTCTGGGAGACTGTTTCAGGCCATAGAGGGCCTTCCTAAGTAGACAGACATGTCTGGGGTACTTAGGGTCAATAAAACCCTCAGGTTGGCTCATGAAAATCTGTTTATCTAGTTCACCATGAAGGAAAGCAGTGGTAACATCCATCTGCTTCATCTCCCAGTCATTATGGGCAACTAGGGCAAGCATCATCCTAATTGTTGTGAATTTTACTACTGGAGCAAAAATTTCAGCATAGTCTACCCCTTCCTTTTGAGTGAAACCTTTTGCCACTAACCTAGCTTTAAACCTAATGTCATTTGGTTCTTCTTTAACTTTGAAAAGCCATTTGCACTCAACAACAGAACAATTAGGAGTCCTAGGAACTAGGGTCCAGGTTTTATTCAACTTAAGAGATTCTATCTCACTTTGCATAGCACATAGCCAATTTTTAGATTCTCTAGAGGCAAGGGCTTCCTGGTAGGTTTTAGGCTCATTCAACTCAAGAGTTTCAAAGAAAGAGAAAGCAAATAATGAAGTATCATACAGGTGAAAAGCATAGTCAGTCATACTATCAGAAATCCTCTTAATGTTTCTTCTAGTCCTATCTCTGGCTAACACATAATCATCTAGACTCTCATTCTCAACTTGGATTTCTCCAAGTTCTTCATTATCAGCAAAATCAGATTGAACAATCACATCATGCAAATTTTCATCATTACTACTGAGCTGCTCCACCTCACTAGAGGTGGAGTGGGTGTCATGCATATTGTTGGTCAAATCAGGAGTACTAGACTCATTCACCAAAGGGGCAGCAGTGGTCTGGATGGGCTCCACCTCACTAGGAGAGGTGCCATCATGCACAGTTTGAGGGTCAGTCACATTTTGAACTAAGCAGGGAAAGTCATTTTCATTGAACACCACATTTCTGCTTATAATGACCTTAAAACCACTCTGGTTCCTATCACAGATCCTATATCCTTTAACACCTTCAGGATATCCTAAGAAAATGCATTTCTTAGACCTAGGGTCCAACTTATCAGACTGTTGATGTACATAGGCAGCACACCTAAACACTTTTAAGTTTGACAAGTCCAGGGGTTTCTTAGAGAAGACAGACTCAGGACACTTACCTTCTAAAGGTACAGAGGGGGATCTGTTTATCAGGTAGGTGGCAGTATTGACAGCTTCTCCCCAAAACTTCTTGGGGAGGCCAGAAGTGGCAAGCATGCTCCTAACTTTGTCTAGGATGGTCCTATTCATTCTCTCAGCTAAGCCATTCTGTTGGGGAGTATAGGGCACAGTTTTGTGTCTCCTAATCCCACTCTCAACACACAACCTATCCATATCCTTATTGCAGAATTCTAAGCCATTGTCAGTTCTAAAGGTTTTAACCTTACATCCAGTTTGATTTTCTACCATAATTTTCCATTCTTTAAACCTAACATACACATCAGATTTATGTTCTAACAAGCAGACCCAGACTTTCCTAGAAAAGTCATCAATTATGGACAGAAAATACCTCCTACCCCCATGGGTAGGGACACTGGAAGGACCCCATACATCTGCATGTATGTAGTCAAGGACAGCTTTAGACTTAGGCTCACTAGAATAGCTAGAAACTGGAAACTGAACCCTATGTTGTTTACCTAGGACACAACCCTCACAGAAAGGTATGGGTGACACCAAGTCATTGCCAAAACATCCAGTTTGTTTCAAAATATTCAATCCTTTATTACTCATGTGACCCAGTCTTTGGTGCCAAAGCACAGACTTGTCACTGAGTACAGCATTAGCATTTTCAGAAAAAGGTTTGGCATGTACAACATAAAGGTTATTTTGTTTCAAGGCTTTAAACAACACAAGGGAGTTTTTCAAAATCTTCATACACCCATTTCCCCATTTACCCTCAAGACCACATTCTTCAAAAACAGAAACAGAAAGCAGGTTGTGCCTAAGATCAGGGACATGTCTAACATTTTTTAATTTGAAAACAGTTCCATTTTCAAACTTAAGACTTATGTCACCCACACCATGGACCTTACACTTCTTATTGTCAGCTAGGGACACATAACCAGAATCACAAGCACTATAAGAAGCAAACAGATTTTTAAAAGGAGTCATGTGGTAGGTACAACCTGAATCTATTAACCATTCAAATTCGGTTAAGTTGCTTAGGGCAGAATTAGCATGATCACAGATCATGAACACTTCTTCACTAATTTCCTTATCAGTCACAGAGTTGGCCTGTTCATTTCTTTTGGGTTGGGGACAGTCCTTTATGAAATGATCTGGGTTCCCACAGTTATAGCACACCCTTTTCCTAGACTTATGCCTCTTCTTGCTAGGTTGTCTACCATTCTTATCCTGATTGTCCTTTTTAGGGTTTTTAGACCTACTTTTAGATCTTCCCCTAACCAAAGCTTCCCCAGATTCCCTATGATGGTTCCTAGAATGTTTTAAGTCAAGTTCTTTACTTCTCAGGCCATTAATAACAATATCAAGGGTTATGTCATCCCTCCCATATTTTATGGCAGACTTAACATCATTATAGGAATCAGGTATAGCATTTAATAAGACTATGGCAGTGTAGTCATCTATATGTTTATCCCCAGCCTGCTTAATGTTTTGGATTAGCTTGTTAAAAATATCTAGGTTTTCATCAATATCTTTTGTTAGGTCAAGCCTAAACCTAAAAAACTTTTCCAACAAAAACAGTTTGCCAGGAAGGGAAGTATCAGTATATAGAGACTCAAGTTTATCCCAGAGGTCTTTAGCAGACTCAATGACTCCAACCTTTCTAAGGACAGAGTCAGACAAGTTTAAATATATGGTTGAGCAGGCTATTTCATTCATTTCAACTTGTTTAGGTTTTTCCTCAGTTTCTAAGTATTGCCCAGTAATAGCTCTATGAACTTTCTGTTGTATTAACACACATTTTAGTTTTTGTTTCCAAATATCAAAGTCAGTCTTACCATTAAAAGGCATCATACCATACTGGTTTGAAGCCATGATAACAGTCAAGCACACACAATTAATGAGCCAACTGTAATGCAGGAGCCTAGCCCTAGAAGGTTAGACTGCGGACTAAGGGACCACGCAGATCCGGGGCCACAGAGGTGGCTGGCAGGGAATCCCCTAGCCCTAACCTCAGGTGCCTTAGCCAACTAGGGTTTCACAGCCACAGTATTACAATGGATCAAAAATTACCAACACAAAAAAAAATACTGGAAGCAGATAACAACAACAACAGAGGACTGGCAAGCAAGTAGAAAACACAAAGGTGTTCAGATAATATTACAGACAACTGTGGGCTAAGTTCGACACAGATTAGCACCACCCATGCATTAGTTCAACAACCTAGGGTTTCAGCAGACCTGTCTTAGACAGAATCTACACATGCAACGGATAAAAGAACTGGGGTTTCTAACCGGCAGCTCCTCAACCTAGGGTTTCAGAACTACCCATGCAACACAGAAGCCGGTGGCACTCCGGCAGCCCAAGATAGGGTTTAAGCTAATATACCTGAGCGGGAGTCTAGATTAGACTTCCCGACTTACCAATCCGAGGAGGAGCCTAGGCGTTACCAGTTTTGGGGAAGTTCTTCCGGCGAGTCTCCGGCGTCGGTGAGAGGAGGCAGCTTCCAGCTCTGATACCACTGTAGAGTTACTGGACCGGCTCAGACCTCAATCACCATAGCCCAAGGGCTAGCTCACCATTCACCACCAAGGAGTCAACAAGGGAAGACCAGAGGGCATCTAGTCTCCAACACTCAGTATAGTGCCCAAACCCTCCCAAACCAGACTGCCCAGAGAAAACCCACCGGAGAAGAAAACCCCCCCACAAGACTACCAGTACAGAGTGAAGCCCACAGAAGGACCCCAAAGGTATCATCGGAGGGTAGCCGGAGCTCAAACCCTAGATGATACCAGCACTCTCTCACTCTAGAACTGGGGTAACCGGAAAGACTTCTCATCGGATAGAGAGAGGAAGGGGACGATCAAATAGTGGATTCCAGAAGGAACGGACAATATAAGGTAAGGGCCACAGAGACATGGGCTTGGGCAAAGACAAAGGAAGGCAAGTGGGCTAAGTCAGGCGGACAGCCCAAACGGGCCATGAGGATAAGATTAGCAGACAGCTCATTAAATGGGATGGACCATGGGCCAGTGAGGTGGACCAATACCAACTCACATATTGGTTTAACATTGAGTTCATCTTGTATGTTTACTATTTTATGGAAAAATATAGGTTTCCAGAGAACCTACATTTACCTAGGAGTACCTCCTCCTCTAACCCATTTTGGGAGAACCTCTAAAAACGAATCTCCTTGTTAGATGTTTTTGGTGGTAAGTTTTCCTTGCAAGTAATTTTAACATGTTTACCTAAGTTAATCTTCATCAAAACAAACATTTAGTACATTCACTTGGATTAACCCAAAATTTATCCAAACAACTTAGTTATATGAACCTCAGTTACCCAACTTTTACTAAACTTAAGTTCAGGTAACCAATTAAATTCAATCTACACCTAACGGACTGTTAGATAACATATTGAATGTTCCTCTGTACCAAGAAGGGAAAAGCTTTAAACTTTGACATGACACCACGAGAGAGCAACAAGTCAACAACATCTAGCTTGATCAAAGAAATAAGAATGTAAATATGATCATACGCTTTAGATAAACACAATAAAATGATAAAAGTAAAAAAGGGGGCAAAACCTCAGCACCAGTCATGGCCGCAGCTTGAACCACTTGGAGAAGCTGATGGGGAGGTATGGGACCACTCGAATCTGCCCCAACCCTAAGGTGCTCTTTCTTCATACCAACCTCAGACATCACAGCTCTACTACAATTTGTTCTTCTGAAGGATGGAGTCCTGTTAACCCCATACCTTGAAGACTGCAAATTCGCATTCAAGAATGACAAACTAATCGGTAGATTGCGAACGGGAATGGGTTGGCCAGAAAACATTGAGGGGGAAATCATCTTTGAAACTGAAAGAAGTCGTTCTCCCATTCTGTAACAACGAACAAGTTGCTGTTGGTACAGAAACATACAGTAAAAATGGGACAAAACTTAATTAAGTAGAAAAAAAAAGTAATTGTCCGACTAAAACAAGACTGAAATGCAAAAATAAGACTTCTTATCTTTTTTCCCCAAATAGGATCAATTTAATCCTATTACGAAACATAAAGAAATTTGCATCCCAATTTTGCCCATACGGTTATTTTTCATACGTAGACCAAATTTCTCTCACAACCTCCGGTACAAGGCATCAGATCTACTTGTGCAGCATAAGCTTTCTCTTCTATGCACCAGAAGCTTTCTCCCCTATGCACCAGAAGCAACTTCATCCGATCGAAGCTTTCTCCCCTATGCACCAGAAGCAACTTCATCCGACCGATCCTCTCTCTCACGCCGTCTTCGACTCTCTTCTTCCGCACAATCAATCGGATGCGCACTAGATCCGCTTTTTCCGCGGTAGGAACAATGGATTCCTCTTTGCACATCGCTCCCATAGACACCGCAACCGCCTACCGCCACTCTCTCTCACGTCGTCGTTGAGGTTCTCCTCTTCATTCTCCTCTGCCTCCTTCTCCTCCTCCTCCTCTTTCTTCTTTGTGTTTCTTCTATTTCTCTATTTTTCTGGATGTTGACATTGATTTTGCCAATTTTTGGATTTCTGTTTTTTATTTACAATTTCCGATTTCATATTTTTTAAATAATTGCCAATTTTCCAAAATTTTGGATGATGTCTTCAGATTTTGCCAAGTTTATGCCAAAAAAATGTATACTGACAAGTGATTATGGCAAAATTTCATTTATGTAAAACGACTTTTCTAATTTTTTGTCATTAGCTTCGTTTTCTAAATTTCCGATTGTGTTAACGTGCTTATTCCATTTTTTTTTATTTTTCAAATATTTGGATACTGAATTCATATTTTTGCCAAATTTATGGCATTTTTGTTTTAATCTTCCAACGAAAATCTGCCATCTTTATGGCAGATCTAAAAACCTGCCAACTTAATGGTGGTGGTGGCGAAGGATGGTGGTAGATCCAACAACGGAGGCGACAGGCGGCGCTGGAGAGGGCGGTGGTAGGCGATGCCGGTGAGGGCGGCGGCAGGCAGTGTCGGCAAGGGTGGCGGCAGGCGGCACCAAAGAGAGAGGTAGTGTGCGGCGGCGAGGGTGACTTGTTTGTTACGATTGAAATTTAGGGTTTCAACATTTTAATTTTACATTTTTCTTTTAATTATTCATTCAAAAGAAATTGAGTAGGGGCATATTTGTACAAGTATGTGATTTTAAGTCCTATGAAACATACGTTTCATTTTTTGTCCTATTTGTGCACATGAATCATCTTTTAGTTCTATTTAGGGAATTAACTCAAAAAAAAAGGTAAAATGAGACAAAGTTAGGAGATTTCGTAACTCGTACTATTTTCCACGGGCATAAAAAGGCCTTCTCAATCTAAAATGACAAAACACCCGTAAACAAAATTAATCTAAATCCCCCGCGTGTATGCGTTGTCTCTTTCTCACTTCCGTACAACCAGTGAGTCTGTGACTGTGATGACATGGGAGCAATTAGTCACTGATCATTGTGAGTCAGAGTCACTATGAGTCTGTGACATTGGTTACTGTGAGATGGAATTATTGTGACATTGATCACTATAGCGAATCAATTGAATTTAGTAAGAGTATTGTTACATTGATCATTGTAGCAGGTCAACTGAATTTAGCAAAGGTATGATGATCCTCTTAATCTTTTGTCTCATTGTTGGAAATTTAAAAAAATGTTCATGTTCACGAGTTGATTTTAATAATATTATTGTCCTAACCCCAAATTTAGAGCCCATTTCATTATACTGTAATTGGTTGAATCGACTGATTCAGCTGAAATTTATGAAGTTCTGGCTGAAGTGTTTGTATTAGCTAATTTTGTTGATTTATGAAAAAAATTATATTTAAAATATGTTTTATTAATATATTAAAGAAAAATTATATGAAAAATAGCTAAAATAGTCACATACACTAACTTCAATCAATGCAGCCACAAAAGCAACTCCAACATTTATTAATAGGGAAAACTGTCAAATAGGTCCTCGAACTTTCATAAAAAAGTCAATTAAATCCTCCTATAGGAGACTCTGTCCGGTCGTCGCGATTTGGGGTTGTTCCCGGTGTAATTTTTTGATGCAATTTTTTGAGCATCTTATTCATCAATTCTAGTTTACTCATACCAAATTTCAGCTACAAATTCAATCGGGAGCGCATTCAAATTAATTCGAGAACGCAAAAATGCGTAATTATCTTCCAGAATTATTTTGAATGTGTTCCCGATTGAATTTTTAGCTGAAATTTGGTATGAGTAAACTAGACTTGGTAAATAAGATGCTCAAAAAATTTCATCAAAAAATTTCACTAGGAACTACCCCAAATCACGACGGCTGAACCGAGCCTCCTATAGGACTTAATTGAACTTTTTATGAAAGTTCGAGGATCTATTTGACAGTTTTCCCTTATTAATATTACCCAATTCAGCACGCCAAATCAAAAGTTATGTGTTTGATTAAAAAGTTGGTTGATAAATCTGATAAACCGAAAAACAGAGTTACCAAATGAGCTCTTAAAATTACCCCTTGCCCTTTGAGGTTATGTCATACCGAATAGTTATTAATATAGAGTTGCATTTTCAAAAATCAATTAGTTACTCTTTGATTTTTAATTATTCTCACTATTTGTCCCTTCATGTTAATTATTTATTTAATTAAACTTCATATGGCTCTTAAATTCAATGATTGTCTATAATGTCCACTTTTAAATGTTAATACAATTCATCGTCATAATTACAAGTCATAGATGTTTATCGTTATTTTTCTACAAATGTCACTACGCATCATGTTTTTATTTTGTTGAATTCCATATTCTAACAGAAAATCCTACTCTTCTCATATATGCCTTATGTAAAAATCATAAGGGTTAAATACTCTACACAATCTTTACATATGATTCTACCATAAAAAGTATATGTGTTATTCAACATTACACAAATTCCATGTGTTATTCAACACACACACACATACACACACACGTTCACTTCAAAAAAATACAAAACGTGATATATATAATTTATGTCTATACACACAATAGCAACATATCATTACTTGTCCACAATTGTCTATAAAATAATAATAAACACTATATTAACAAAGACACTTAAACCACAACAACATAGACGCTTACTCATCTCATCAACATCTTTTTCACTACAATAGTACACTACTTAGATGTGCATACAAATAATACTTTTATGTGCACAAACAATGAAGTTGTCTGGCCTCACAAACATTTCTTGAATGAGTATATGAGCTACGCAAATCATGTTCATGCCCGCAAACATCTTTTTCATGTTCACTTGCACATTTTTAACAGAAAATACGGAAATCGATCCGAAAAAAATGAAGCGAAAAAAAAATGAACCGAACACTGCAAAAACCGAACCGAAATTGAACCGGCTTGAATAGAATCCGAAAGTCGGGTCCCAACTATGAATCAGTTCGAAAGCGATTCTTTGAATTTTAAAATCGGTTCAAAGCGAACCGAACCGACTTTTTATTAAATAATAATAATTTAAATATTTTAGTAAATTCCTAGCAGTGTAAAGTAATAAGTAAGTTGTGCGTCTCCATAATACCAAGATTCCTAGGTGGCTCATTGGTATCGCACACAATATTCCTACATTGTGTTAATCCCCCAACCACAACCTACCTTTTTTGGTTTTTCTTCTATGTGAAGCCGTTTCACTTAATTTTTCTACAGCATTTAGTTAATCCCACACTAGATACAATACATGATTCTCTCCTCATATCTCCCTATATATTGGACCCTGGAAGCAGAGTTCAAATAAGTGGCTAATAATGCTCAGAGTTCAAATAAGTGGCTAATAATGCTCAAATGTGTATGAAGCTACTACTCCTTAGTCAAATATTGTTAAATATGATTATTTCTTATATTCTTTCGGGATATCCAAAAATCAAACCGAAAATTTGATTTTCGAAAAGTTGGGTTCCGATCTTATTTGGTTCGGTTTAGGGTTATGGAATTCATGAAACCGAAAAATTGGTCCAGTCCTATTCATTTGTACGAAAAATGAACACATCAAATAATGAACACCTACTGAGGTCGCCCACAACATCATCCATTGAGTTTCCGTTAACTTTGACGACACTCCGCGTGTGAAAAAGACCGTCGTCCACTCATATTTCCCCAAGTCAGACTATCATAGGTGAACTCATCACTGACCTCACATATATATTCTTTCTTCTTAACTCGATCAATTGAAGAAGATGGAAGGATGGAGAAAGAGGGAGAGGAAGTTGGAGACAAACAGGAGAGAAGGGGGCAAATTTCAAAAGTCTTTTTACAACATTCACATCCTATGAGTCCAACAAAGACTCGCCTATTCCGATGCAATCGGAAGTTAACTCATGGAATGGCGAGGAAACTTGCAATAAATGATGTTGGAATATTGGAATAAGTAGGGTGTGAGGGGAAAAGAGGGGGTAAATTTTTTTGGGTTTAACTAGTGTGTACATTAAGTGTACAATTGTGTGTACAAAGAGCAATTTTGTAATAATGTGTGGCAATCAACGGAACAAATGACCGTTTCTGATACTCTTTTTTAACATAGCAATCTTTGATTGCTGGAGGCATTCTTGATTTGGCAAGAAATACGAAATGACACAAAAATTGGTCAGATACGGAAACGGGTCACTGTAGCAGCGTCCTATGCCGGCTTCAATCTCCAAACCAGCCAGCGTCCCTCAAATTGCCCGATTTCTTTGCCGGAGGGGGATATTGCGAAACGCACAAACTAACGACAAATGTCAAAGAAGAAAGTTTGCTGCAGTTGGCGGCGATTCCTATTATGTCTGCCTCTTGTGTTCTTAATGCATCGTCTTGTTTCAGGTGATGTTTTTATTTGCTTATTCTTATATCAAATAGTAAATAACCTTATGCAGTAGAGTTGCCTTCCTTTTTTTCTTTCAGTTTTGCGATTCCAGAAACATCAACCGAAGTTTGGAGAAGAAATGTATAGTGCTCAGGGGCCGAATAAGTTGAAGAACAAGAAATTTGATCATCTAATTCTTGGACCAGCTGCAGGTCAAGGTTTTCACGACCGCCTGCATTGCCAAGGTATGTTATTACTTCTGTCTTTTTCGTCATTGTTTATGATGTCATTTGTCTTTTTAGGTGCTTGTATCCATATATATTGGGCATATCCTGTAATTATCTGCTCGGATAGACAAAAAATTTCACTAAGTTTGTTGTTCGGATGGACCAAAGTTCTCACTAAGTTTGTTCTCCATTGCCTGTTCTGATAGACCAAAGATTTCACTAAGTTTGTTCCATTCGATTTGCCATGTCAGCAGAAGTTTGGTTGAGACTTCTCATAGCTCAGATTAATTAGGAACTTTTGTGAGTAGTGCTTTTAATAGGAGCTTATATGAGAGTGATTTTATCAGAACAGTATACAACTGGAAAAGTATTTTACAATCTTAATGCTTGTTTCACAAGGGTACGTGGCTGATATAGCTGAATCAGTTAATTTTGTGTAAGAAAAAGCATTTAGCAACATTAATACCAGCCAAGTAAGTTGAAGCTACTAATTCTGATGATTTATGCTTATAAGCAGAACAAGCCAGTTATGACAATGGCAACCAAATGGAGTGAAAACATCAAACAATTTTACCTTTGCCCTCAAAAGTTCAAAGATTTGGAAGCAATCTTATTTCCTGTCAAGGAAGATATGCAGTGCATTTTTTTCAATCCGCACACGAGCCTTCTGTTCTGAAGTGGGACGGTCTATATCTTCAGACGGTCTATATCTTCTCCACTTTTGAATGCCCGACTCCGTACTTTATTCCTGACCCATCCATCCTGTGTTGGGTCTTCGATTTTTCGGATAGGAAGGTTCACGTGCGGTATCCGTATAGCCTATTTTGATATTTTCTCCAATAGGAAACAAATCTAATTCCTAAAATGTTAATAGTCATTTTGTTACTCATAAGTGCTTTCGAGTTTGGCTAAGTTTTGAATTAAAAAAAGCTCTTTTATTCAAAAAAGCCATGCCAATCTTACTCCAGACCATTTATAGTCACATCAGATGGTGAACAATTGTCCTTTTATGCTGTTTAAGATGATTGGGCATTTTTATATCTTCACTAGTCATTTTTTGCAATCGTTTATGATAATTGATTATTGCATATTATGATGTGAGAACTGCTTACGTTTGCTTTATAGTAATGGGTGATTAAATTACAGGTAACAAGGCTCTCAACATAACACACTTCAATTCAGGAAATTCAAATTTTAGGGACGATGTGTCCTTGATTACTGTATTTGCGACTTATGACAATCCTCTTGACAGTCAGAGTAATGACAAACGGGTTACTGTTGGGAATGTTTCTTACACTAAGTTGGAAAGGTCACTGGCCATCTTAAATGTGTTTATTAACTTCATTCAGGTAAATAGCGACATGGAAGCATAGTTGCATGTGTGATAATTAGTTGGCAATTTTTTTACTTCGAACCAATTATGGGCATGGTGCCATGGTCTGGATCTAGTCGAAGATCTTGGACGAGAGAATGGGAAGAGTGGTTGGGCGTCAGAACACAATGAAGTTGGCCTTATTACTAAATTAATTAGTGTCCGACCTAGGCAAGTTACACAAAAATTATTTCTAGACTAACTCTGTCTGACAAAGTAGCTTATTAAATCACCTAGGACACTTATATAGCTATTTCAAGAGTTGTAATCATAAATGACACCATTAAACTAAAAGCTAATAGAAGGTGACTAAAATTAAATAAGGAATCAACAATAATAATAATTCGAATAATGAATACACTACACATTATTATAATATGAATGTGAATGTAGAAATAGCCAAAATCGTTCATCACAGTGAGTAGACAATAACTCCTATAACCCAATACCTTTGATGGTGGCCGTGATATTGTTGTTGAAGATGGTAGCATGGGGTTGAAGGCAGCAACAGCTATGGGCTGCGTTAGTAAAGGTGTAATGACATAAGGCCGGTTTGGCGTCATGTTTAATCGTAGCACTGTAGCACTTGGTTTTCCTTTAACAATGATGCAGCCGGTAGAAGCTCTCTGCAACATTTTCTATGAATTTGATAGTAACAAGTGGGTTTTAAGCGGTGTAAGAGGTGTTGCAGGCGGCCACAAAGCATACAGTGGAGTCATCTGGCAACTTATGAGGAACTGATGGAACGTTGGGAATTCCAAAATATGAGTACTATGTTTTTTCCCCTAAATAGGAGTACATTACTGCTACCTTAAAAATTTGGTGCCCGCATTACAAGGCTTTAAACATGGCAGCATACTACCATATGTGGTAGTATTTTCCAAGTATGGCAATAATTACTCCTATTTAGAGAATAAAAATATAGTATTCCTATGTGGAATTCCCAAACGTTTTACTCCTATTTAGGACAATTTCTTTAACGTATATTTATGGTGCAACCTCCTCATAAAGTTTTCGTTTGGAATTCCAATGGAGTAACCTGCTAGAATGTAATCAAAACCTATCTAAATTTGCATGTTAATCCCATTATTATATACTTAAAATTTTCAACATAATAAACCGATTTTTCAGCGAAAGCACTGTTTAAATCACTCTGATTAATGAAACTTTTTTAATTGAGTGACAGAGATGCGGAAAAGTTTGACAAGCGGTTTTGTTTGTGTTTCTATTCTTTTAGTAATCTAACCGAAAGGGCTGTAAAAACTTGAACTCAAATATATAAAAGTCAACCTACAATTGAAAAAAGGAAAGAACCCAAACAAAAATGACCAAAAAACTGCATGCTGCTGCCACTTCTTCGGATCAGCCAAAGACTATACTCGGCAGTGGCTATGAGGCTATCTGATTCTTCTGTTGAGCGTGATGCATTTGCCTACACCAAATAAGAAGAGATTGATGAAAGTTCATCTTGGAGACTTGGATTGAAAGCAGCTGTTGTTCTGTGTAAGTTTGTGTTGGATACTTGGATTGAGAGCAGCTGTTATTCATTGAATCTGGCAGTGAGCTGGTGAAGTAGAACATTTTTTAATTTTTCTGATGCGGCAGACAAAGTTACCCTCTCTTCAAAAAAATCTAGATTTACAGGAAAAGAACAGAAAATTTATTGAAGAAGATGATGGGGTCTGGACTGTGATGGCCCTGGTTCTGCGATTCCAAGTTGTTACAGGGGTGGTAAGGGCCGAGTCATGTCACACAAGAATTACTCCAAAAAGTTTACTGAATAATAGCACCTTCATATAGCTATTACACAAGTCCCTATCCTAAAAGGAAACATAACCATAAAGGCCAATAAGAGCTGACTAAAACTGAATAATGAAATTAAATAATAATAATAATAATAATAAGAAAGAAATTAGCTCTAAGATTACTAATTAATAATCTGAAATTAATATTAATAAAGAATAATATCCCTAACCATAATAGGAATAACCCAGGCAGTAGGCACACTCATAATAGCAACCAATGTCCTTCATGGTTTATCCCAAGGTTTGGTTTGTGCCCCATGCTTTAAATTTTTGATAATATATGTCGTGCACAAGTTGGTAAACATAATCTTTTGTATTTATTTATTTATTTATTTAATTATTTATTTATTTATTTGTGAGCTATATATTTTTTATTGCATATTTTTACCTTAGTAAGATATTTGCAGGTGTCAATGCCTCAAAGTAGCATAGTCATTCTTACTGATCCATTATCTGAACTTCCAGTAAACAGAAACCGGGTTTTCATTCATCCCATTCAAGGTGAATATTCACGAGACAAGTTGATGCTTCAAAGAATCAGGTCCTACATTGTAAGGGCGCTTTATAATATAGTGAAATTGACGTTTATACTTTTATTTCTTTAAGGATATTTTTGCGCTAGGAATTTCATCGTATTTAGAAAATTTGCCAGTTGACATTAATCAATTGCAGTGTGACCTTTTTTTATGCAAGGATAGTGAACTTATTGTCAAAGCTTATACAAAAAAGAAAAGAAAAAATAATATGAAGACTGGGAAGTAGATTGATATTCAAGTTGAATATACACTGCTATGGTAATAAATTTGTCGCATTACCTCCCTTCACCTAGCTTTGCCCATCCATTCACCATAACCATCAACTTTTCTTTTTCAAATGTTTATCATTAATTCATTTATTTTTTCGTTCTTGTTTGGACATCTAGTTTCCTTGTTTCATTACCAGAAATGTTTGAAATCTCTATTGTAAAGTGATATAATTTATGAGTCTTTGTTGAGTGATCTAATAATCGTTGAAGGGAGCATCAGTGTTCCAATGTTCCATATTGGCCATTCTTGTAGACGAGTCAAACAATATAGTAAAGCACATTTTCTGGTTCCCAAAATACAAATCATAAAACCTCTATATAAGGAATTAAGAATACTCCGTATAGGAATAGTCTCTAATCGATTGTATTATATTTTGGTCCCGACGTTGTACTCCAATTGGTACAAAATCTGGACTGTGAAGCACAGTTTAAGGTTATGCATTTCTTTTGAGTGTTGATCGCTTCTTCAGAGCTTTTCTTTTAGCGCTTCTTTGGTCCAAAAGAGGGGAGTGGGAGGAAAATAAAATTTGTCAGAAAAATTATTATGTCTGTTTCATTGAACATTGAAGGAGGGGGGAGAAATTAGTATGTTGGAAGCATATGTAAAATTTATATTTGATACAATACATTTTGTATTTAAGAATATAAAACAATAATAATGTTCAAAAGCTTTGGTGAAAAGAGTTGATAGACTTCATGGGGGAAAAACCTACATTCTCTTAAAATTGAAAGTGAGTTATGATGAGTTAAGGATTTTGTAGTTTCTTCACTCTCCCTCAACTCTTCCTACCAAACACACACCACTCCTTCACTTTCCTCCATCACCTCCAATGTCCTACTAAACAAGCACTGAGCCTTGGAGAAGATGTCTGTGTTGTGCATTTAAAATATTACTACCTCCGTCCCGCTATAATTGTCCCGTTTTACCTTATCGGTCCCGTCCCACTAAGATTGTCCCATACCAAATTTGGCAAAATTTGTGTGGCTCTAAACCGTTCTTACTTTATTCTTACTTTATCAATTCAATATCAACCACATAAACCACTTTTTATTGATTTGCGTGCCACCCCCTCTTGTCCCATTGTTAGCGGGACGGATGGAGTATATGATATGTGTTTTCCCATCTATGATTAATTTCAACAGAAAAGTCGTGTGATACACACTTTCCTTTGCTGAATTGACTCTTTGTTGCAGTTCTTCCTTGAAACAAGATATGAGGAGCAGTCTAGGTGGAAGGGGAAAGTTAATCACTATATTTTCACGGACTCAGATTTAGCAGTTGTCGATAATCTAGGACAGATTTTCCATGACTACCCTGACTTTGATCTTGCTCTTACCTTCCGTAACAACAAAGAGCAACCTCTAAATTCGGGATTTATTGCAGTACGTGGCACTCCAGATGGAATTTTGAGGTATTTAATTTTATTCTTGAAAGAGACGGTATTTGCGTATGGACTAAGCATTTTTAGGGATTAAGCATTTTAGGGTTTAAATTGTTTTTTTGTTTTGCGTATTAAGGGTATGTTTGTATCAAAGAGCAAGTGAAGGGTATGTTAAGATAAACACCTCAAAATTCGGGATTTATTGCAGTGCGTGACGCTCTTTGATTTTAATAGCGGTGACTCAAGTGAATGGACTAAGCATTTTAGGGATTAAATTGTTTTTTGTTTTGCGTATTAAGGGTATGTTTGGATCCCAGAAAATGCTAGGGAAAGAAAAATGCCCTGCAGAAACATGAAATATGATTTTTATATTAAAAGAATCATTTTTTCTTTGCATTCTTTGGAATGCAAAGAAACATGAAATATGGGGTTTTTATTAAAAAAAATTACCCACATTAAATTTCCTGGATATTTAAAATAAATATTGTTGTTTGAGCACATATTTTATTTTATCCTACAATTATCCTTTTTCTTTACCTCCCTATTTTCTCTCCTAAACATCTTTTATGTTCCAAACAGACCCTCAACTCAGAAATGCATTCTTCAGTTGCCCCTTTCATCATCATCAGCAGCAGCATAATGATCCCAATTAGTTGGGGTCGTTGGCATAATATATCTAGTGCCAGTTCATTGTCAAAAATTAGTTAACACGGAGTGCTTAATAGTATAAGTTCATGCAAAATAACAGTGGTAAAGTTTTACATAGATTGTCTTTTTATGCAGGTCTAAACTTTTCTTACAGCAAGTCCTTGAAGTCTATAGTACACGGTATTTGAAAGCTTCCAGAATGCTTGGAGATCAATTAGCCCTAGCTTGGGTGGTTGTGAAGTCAAACCCTTCATTTGATGCCATACGATTTACTAGCAGACAGCCATTTCTAGATAAAGTTAATGGGGCGTCAGTTTTATTTCTACCATGTGCCTTGTACAATTGGACCCCACCTGAGGGTGCTGGTCAGTTCCATGGGATGCCTCTAGATGTTAAGGTACCCCAATCATTCTTCTTAATCCTTGTTCATGGTCCTGTTTCTTCTTACAAACTGGGTTTGTAACTTTGTATGATGAATAAATAAATAAACAAATAAATATATAATGAAATGAGTTTGAATGAATATCTAAAACAAATTTTTGACAATACTTTTTATTGAAGTATTTTCTTTTACTTCCCTTACAGGTTATCCATTTCAAGGGGTCAAGAAAACGACTTATGCTCGAGTCATGGAACTTTTTTAATTCATCGTCATTGACATCATCTCAGAAACTGTCTGATATGCTATGCCTCATATTAAGAAGCGGGAGAACGAAATATGATTTCTAAGTTTGTTTTTTCTTTTTCCTGTGGTTTTTGGTCAGAGTCAAATGGCAAGTGTGTACGGCATATATATGTAAATTCCTGTCTTGTTTGTCCCTTGTTTGGAAAGCCAGCAAATGCAGCTAGTTTTTACTGGATTCCTCAGGGATGAACATACTTGAGTTGGACTGAAAAAGAAGCCATCTTTTGCCTCTTCATATGATTAGTCTTTGTTAGTGCCCAACGATATATGTTTCCTTATCATATGATTTCTATTGACAAACAGAAAACAAGACTTTTTGGTAACCTGTTTAATTGGGTTGGGTATGGACGTATGGTTCAGTTCAAGAATCGAAATGAGATGAATACCCGAAAATTGAACTGGCATTTTTGGTTTCTGGGTAATGCATTACTGAACTGATATATAGTCAGGACTCAGGAAGCAATTCTCTTGGGGTTGGGAATCAAATTCTGCTTAGGTTTTATTAAAAAGTATTTTTTATGAGGTTAAACTGAGACTAGGCAAATTCATGTCGAAACAATGAGGTTAAGACTCGATCTAGTATACCTAGGCTTGGACTCGGGCCGGGCCGCCGGTTCCGTATCCATAGGCTCGAGACTGGCTCGGGTCTTGACCGGTTCCAGTTCATTTTTTTTATTCTTATTTATTTGACCCCACCCCCATCCCCCCCCAACCCCCCAAACCTCTCGGAAATACCCAGCCCAACTAACCTCAGCCCAAACCAAAAAAATCAAAAAAAATAAAAAAGGCCCGAACCGGGCCGGTTTCCCTTTTCCCTTACTGTGCCCAGAACCGGTAAACCCCCCGGGCCTAGGCCCGAACCGGAACCGGACCCGGTTTCCCGGGCCGGGCCGGTTCCCGAGCCGGGTGGCCCGCACCGAGTCCAAGCCTAAGTACACCTCAAAAGTGCCAGTGTAGTACACTATGGGAATTGGGAATGTGTGTGCATATATATTCTTAAAAATCCACCTCTTTAATAAACTTGTGATTGGAAGTTTTATGGTAGGGACGGACCAGTGTCGGCCCAGGCCCAGTGGATTTTTTTCTCCAAAAATTTGACCCAGTACTGACCTAGTTTCTACCGGTACCGGACCTGGGTCGGGCCCAAATAGTGCTAGGCCGGACCTAAACCTGTTTAATTGAAAAAAAAAATTGTTTATTTAAAAATTTGTCGTTGGGGCCTGTTCCGGGCTGGGCCAAAAAATTCAAGCCTGAAGCCTGCCTCTTATACTCACCGCCGGTCCAGGGGTATTAGACCTGGTACCAATCCTGAAAAACTGGGTTGTGTTAGGCCTAAACAGTACCAGGTTGGGCCGGTCTCGATTGGTCCACCCGGGCCCAGTCCATCCCTAATTTATGGTTATCGATCGAGGACTTGAGTGTGGATGTTGTACAATAAATATATACAATGAGTAGATTTCGGAATTCCCTAAAGAAAAGATCTATCTTTATGGGGAGTGCATCATTGTTCGTAAGTTACAAAGGCAAAACATAGAAGTTTCAATTTTATGTGAGAGGGTTATGAACTTTCATTTAAATTCAATGAAGTAGTAACCATATTGGAGGAATATTTAGTGGGTAAGATTACTTGTGAGGCAAATGGGTTAAGATCTTAGCTTATTATTTAGAAATGAATAATTTAAGAATGTTTAATCACGTGCTTAGCGGTACAAATAATGAAATAGAGAACTGAAATGAAAACAAATTAAAAAGGTTAGATCTAGTATGGGAAAGGTATACTACTCCCTCCGTATCTATTTTTTTTATCGTCAATTAGCCTTCTTTCATATAATAAGTTTTGGGATCATTACATCAATCAAATGAAAAACAAAACTGACATCAACTAAAATCCAACAACTACGACTGTAAACCCTATGATCAAACTTAGAGACGGTCACCCCTAAAAGAGCAACGCGAATCGTTAACCATGTAACGAGCTTGACACAGCAATCCCTGTTTCCATAGATCCAAACATACTCCCTTCGTATCTAATAAATGACCCGTTTGCTTTTTTACGTAGTTTAAGATGATTATTGTAGATTATATAAAAAGTAAGATGTTTTGGTACTGTAGCGGTACTGTAGCTGCTTTTTGGGTGGGTTTCTTTCCAAAATGGGAAATGAGACAATTAATTTGATACGTCCCAAAAAGGAAAGTGGGATAAATAAATAGATACGGAGGGAGTATTAGTCCGGTGATAATAAAGCGTGCAAAATTATCATAAATGGTGAAATGCCCAGGGGCGGACCCACCCTAGGGCTAGGGGGTGCCCGTGCCCCTGCGGTGATTTATATATATATTGGAAAATTCTCAGGTCCAGCACCTCCCGGTCCGAATGCCATTCGAACATCGCCGTTTGGGGCGGTTCCAGGTGGAATTTTTTGATGAAATTTTTTGAGCACGTTCCTCATCAAGTCTAGTTTATCAATACCAAATTTCAGGTCAAAATTCGACCGGGAAGGCAGTCAAATAATTCGTTGAAGTTAACTGCGTTTTTCTATGTATAATTTGGCGCAGTTAACTTCAACGAATTATTTGACTGTCTTCCCGATCGAATTTTGAGCTGAAGTTTGGTATGGATAAACTAGACTTGATGAGGAACATGCTCAAAATTTTCATTAAAATATTCCGTCGGGAACCGCCCCAAACGCCGGTGTTCGGACGGCGTTCGGACAGAAAAGTGTTGGACAGAAAAGTTATGCCGATTGAGACTTATAATGTTAATATTAAAGATGAGTTGAGGAGACGTTATTTGAGAAAAGGTCCTTGCCAACCGCGTGACTTTAAATTTCCACAAAGTGATTTTAATGGGTGCAACAGATCATTCCAAAAACAGTGATTTTATTTAAATTTTATAGTTTTATTTATTGCTTTACTCGTGATGCATATGATTTTTTTCTAGACTAGTATATCATTTCTTTGTTATTGTGCCCCTGCGAGTCACGAGTCCTGGTTCCGCCACGAGAAATGCCCTATTATTTATCTCAATCAAATGGAGTGACAGAATAGAAAATAGAATCTTTGAAATCATAGACTCATAGTTAGCATGTAATTTGAGACTTTTGATTGACTTAACTTATTAATGAGATAACAGAAAAGTTTCAGCCCACTATATTATGTATTGGATGCCAATGAAAATAATGATAAATATCCTTGTAAACTCCCTTAAAAATATTACTCCCTCCGTCCCTAAATTATCTTCAAACTTTCCTTTTTCGTCCGTCCCAAAATTATCTCCTCTTCCCCCTTTTAGCAAAAAATTTGTGGTTCACAACCATTCTTACACATATTTACACATTTCTCTCTCCTCTGCACAACTCTCCACCACACAAATCCCACTATCTTAATAAATGTGTCCAGCCGAAAAGGGAGAAAGATTAGGGACGGAGGGAGTATGATGTAGAGGACATGGAAATTTAGACGCCTCACATCTGCACACATTTGTGCACTAGTTCAAAATCATATCAAGCTGGACTTGGAAAGGGCTATGGCCAAAGAGGTGAATAGAATAATTTGACGGGTCAACTTTTTAGCATAAACCTTAACAGTTTATTTAAATCTTTTACACAAATAAAATACTCCCTCCGTCCCATAATTTTCTTCCAACTTTCCCTTTTCGTCTCTCCCAAAAAGAACTTCTCTTTCCCTTTTTGGCAAAGAATTTATGGTTCACGTCAATTCTTACACATTTCTCTCTCCTCTGCACAACTCTCCATCACACAATTCTCACTTTCTTAATCCGTGTGTCATTTGTACTATGGAAGTAAATTCTGGGACGGAGGGAGTATGAAATAAAAGGTATGAAGTCATACTAATCAAGCTTCCGTACAAAATGTTGCAATAAAAAATAGCATCTGAATTCTGAAGTATATGTGCACAACAAATATCAAATAATTAAAACAGCAACAACCAAAAACTATTTTTCAAAATTATTATTTCAATTTTTCCATATAAAATTGCACAGATGGACCATGAGAGCCAAGACGATTGAAAATGTCTTATATGTCAAAGCTAATTAAAATTAGATTTTGTCAACTCCCACTTTGGGTATGTTTGGCACAACTAGCTGAAAAGATACTTTTGTAAGTTTTTTAATAACTGTTAATTTTTAGTGACTGAAAAGATCTTACAGAGAAAATGTGGTAGCTGTTTGGTAAAAAGCTGACTGTTTAATTTAGTTTGGTTTGGTATACAAACTGTTAGGACTAATTAATACTAAAATTCACGGGGTTTTTTCAGATGCTACTCCCTGTAGCATCTCAAAAAAGATCTTTTGATTTTTGAAAAGCTCTTAAAAATCATCATGCCAAACATAAAACTAGAAGCTTTTTGAGACTTTGAACAATACAAAAGCTACAAGACAGAGGCTTATGCGTGCCAAACATAGCCTTTGTATAATATTTAGGTATGCCAAGTGTAGAGTGAAATGTATTTGAAATAAACACGTTATGTATGACTTAGTTCAGTCCTAGATTTGAACCTACTAGAGCAAACCACACAGGATCAAACCATAAGTAAACTGATGGCGAATTTTGAAACCAGCACCCGAGTCTTCAGAAGGAAGTCGAGAGAGTCTCTCTCTAGCACTCTTGCTACTCTTCCCCCTCAGGTCAGCACCACCACTTGCGGTGGCCGCCGCCGCCGGGGCCCTCCTGGCTCCGGCGGGTCTCTTGGTGTTCAGTTTGGTTTCTTAGTCTGCTGCTCCACTCTTCTGGTGGGTTCGATGGTATTGAAACTGTGAAGATTGCAGAGCCTGAACTTCGTGCTGCGTTTTGGCCGGAAAAAATGGAGGATGCAGAGTTGGTGGTTATGGGGTGAAACAAATCTGGCTTAGATTTTGAATTTGCTATGTTGGGTCCGGTGGTTCCTTTACTGCTAATTTGTGCTTTGGAGGTTGATCATTGGAGCCTTGGTCTTTTACAACCGGGGTGAAAACTTTCCGGCGTCTGCAACATTTGGTCTTTTGACATGGCGCCGATACGGTTGCGGGTTCTTGGTATTCTGAGGAAGTGGGGGGAGGCTTGCCAAGATGAATCGGGATTCGGACATTTTCAAGGTATGTTCTATTTCTCTTCGCTGCTTTGAGAACGAACATTGTCCGGTGGTCTTCCTCCAATAAACTTGAACTCGGTTCTTGTTCGTCAACCAGTCTGCTCTTTTGGGATCTTTAGCTAGTATGTGTTGGGTGTGTTTCGGAAAATAAAGAAAATTAATTAAAATAAATTAATTAAATAAAATGACTAGAGAAAAAACAAGAAAGGAGATGAAGCAGAATTAGCCAAAGCTCGTGCTACGCACGATTTCCTTAAAACGTATTTGTT